CCTTGCTTGTTAACTCTTTTTATTCAACTGGGGAAGTAGAGAGATAGACCCCTGGCCTTTGAGAACTTTGTGGATACATCCCTTCACCCATGGGCTACATCTACACTGGCAGCTTCTTGCGCAAGAACTCTTAGGCTGCATCTAGACTGGCATGATTTTCCGCACATGCTTTTAACGGAAAAGTTTTTCCGTTAAACGCATTTGCGGAAAAGAGCGTCTACATTGGCACGGATGCGTTTGCGCAAAAGCACTTTTTGCAGAAAAGCGTCCGTGCTGATCTAGACACGGTTTTGCGCAAGAAAGCCCCAATCGCCATTTGTGCTATCGGGGCTTTTTTGCGCAAAACAGTTTTTACCTGTCTACACTGGTCCGCTTGTGCAAAAGCATTTGCACAAGAGGGCTTATCCCTGAGCGGGAGCATCATAGTATTTCCGCAAGAACACTGAGCGCAAATTCAAGTGGCCAGTGTAGACAGCTGGCAAGCTTTTCCGAAAAAGCAGCCGCTTTTGCAGAAAAACTGCCAGTCTAGATGCATCCTTACAGAAGAAAGCGTCTACACTGGCACGTGCTATTGTGCAAGAGATGTGCTTTTGCACAAGAGCATCCATGCCAGTGTAGACGCTCTCTTGCGCAAGAAAGCTCTGATGGCCATTTTAACCAGAGGGCTTTCTTGCGCAAGAAATTCATGTTGCCTGTCTACACTGGCCTCTTGCGCAAGAACAGTTGCACAAGAGGGGTTATTCTTGAGCGGGAGCATCATAGTTCTTGCGCGAGAAGCCCTGATTTTATACAGTAGAACGTCCGTTTACTTGCTCGAACACACAGCCAGTGTAGACAGGCAGCAAGTTTTTGTGCAAGAGCGACCGCTTTGGTGCAAGATCGCACCAGTGTAGACACAGCCATGCAGTTCTCATGCCAGAGTTGGAAATTTAGCCATATGTTGAGGACACGTGCATGAAGAGAAGTGTGAAGGCAACTATAGGATCCCTTCCATGTCTCACAGTGCTCTGCTCATGTGCAGCAGCAGGCAACTCCTATTTCTCCATCCCAGCTAGATGGAAAAGCATTGTGATGGTTAGGGGAGATTAAGGTTTGTGCTAGATGCTGAATGAATCGCAGAACACTACCCTGTTCAAATGTTGTTAAGAAAATTCAATTAACTAGCCAGTAAATCAGAGCAATCAAATGTACTTCACTCCACCAAAAGGCTCCCTCATGCCCATTCTCTTTGCCCTTTTGAAAAGCCCTGTAAATAAATGGTCTTCCCTGCATGTGCTAGATTGAGTCATCTTATTTTGGGCCAAGTGGAGAGTAATTTCCAGAGCAAAGACCTGGTAGTAGGCCCATCTCTCTAAAATCAGTGGATCTCATTCTCAGGAGCTCCTCTTGGCCCTGCTGGGGTCAAGAAGGAGGTGAGAACATCCCAATCTGTGCAGCTATATAAGAGAGACATTTTTTCCTTGCAGGTTTACAATTGACAAATACCTCCATTCTCTCCCACCTCCAAATGTATTATTTGGCATTCCCTTTAATTCCCATATAACCACAAATATTCAAGATATAAAATCAAGTGGGAGCAAGATACAGTTCCAAACACTTGCCACAGTAAAGGGAAGATTGTCTGCTCATCTAGGAGCTAGAAGGGTCAGATCACAAATTCTCTTCAGGATAAAGCTCCAAGAGAAAGTCAGGGTCTGATTTGTACATAATGTATTACTGCCTTACATGATTTATTTTAAAATGAATGTAGTTATTGGAGAAGGGCTGTGCTGAGAGCTGTAGGCACGAAAGTCCTCTATCTGTAGAGTGGGAATGGGCAGTTTTTTCCTGCTCATGGGAAAGACTCGCTTCTATGAGAGGAGAAGGGAATACAGGCAGTCCCTGAGTTACGCGGATCCGACTTATGTCGGATCCGCAGTTACGAACGGGGCTTTTCTCGCCCCGGAGGACGGGAGCGATGGGACGCCCAGATGCGCCGCGATCCGCCGCCCCTGTCCTCCGGGGCGAGAAAAGCTGCTCCCCGTCTCCCTGCAGACCAGGGAGACGGGGGTGGCTGGACCGCCCAAGTCCTCCACGGCTTTGCTCTGTCTCCCTGGTCTGCAGGGAGACGGGGAGCAAAGTCGCGGAGCACGCCCGCAGGGGGACAGCTCAAGCGCGCCCGGGCTGTCCCGCTGTGGGCGTGCTCCAAGGCTTTGCTCCCCGTCTCCTGACCAGCAGACCAGGGAGACAGAGCAAAGCCGTGGAGGACTTGGGCGGTCCAGCCACCCCCGTCTCCCTGGTCTACTGGGGGTGGAGGTGCAGCTAGGGCCCCCTCCCCCAGCAGACCAGGCTTTTGTTGTGGACGCCTGGGGTAGAGCAGCTGGGGTGCTGCCGGGTTGGTCCAGGGGGGACCTACCCAGCAGCGCCCCAGCTGTTCTGTCCCAGGCTCCAGATTCAGTCGCTGTTGAAACTGATCAGTGGATGATTCCAGGAAGCTGGGGGCAGAGCAACTCTGCCTCGGGCTTCCTGTAGTCAGCCCCTGGTCAGTTTCAGCAGCAGCGGCTGAAT